TATTAGCTAAGCATAACGCTGTGGGAACAAGTGACTATATGTATTACTCTCAGAAGTGATCAATCGTGGGGGTAAGAGGGGATTACATCACCCTGCCTTAATTGATCGAAGGTCACCGGCTGCTGAAGAAAAGACGAGGAATTTCTATGTCGTAGTCCAACCCTTTCATTTGTCAACGCTCCTTCCCACTCGTTCACTCCAGTACCCTCGGGTCCCCTGAATGGGCCTCTGCAAGCCTTGTTATTACCATGGCAGGGAAGTAGGAGGGGTACTATAGGGGGCTCAGCAGGGCCAAAACAACAACAACAACAAACACCACAACCTCCGAATAATCTGAATTCCATCAGGGCTGCCAAGTTGTCCTGCCAGCAACCTTCCAACCAACCAATCGTTAAACAGGAGAGCTCAATTATCAGCCAATTACTGCTGCAGGCCTCCTTTGGGAGATTTCTGCATCCTCTCAAACGCTGGGCCAGGGAGGGGGAAACTCCCCTTCAGAGCTCATTAAGATCAAAGCGATAATACTGGGAAATTCTTCATCCACATTCACCTGCTGCAAATCAGGGGCTTTCTTAACAAACTCTGACACTGGCATTTGTGAAAATCTTCGCAGGATTATCACATCTCTGTGAAACATGAATTTAGGAAAGCCAGTGGAGCAACGCAGCTTATGTATTGCAAATTAAAAAAAACATAGAGTTGTCTAAATCTGCCACAAAGCGCTGATATTTCCTGGCTTCCAGTCCCCAAGATGGGTTCAACACTCAATCATGAAACTCATGATACTTTGTTTCATATACTACGCCTCTGAACATGAACTATAGATTATTTCAAGGTGTTGAAGTTATGATTGCCGTTCAGTTTAGGTTCTTTACACTGCTGTGGAAAATAATGGGCGGGGGGGGGGGGGGTAGATGTTATGTTGTCTGGGGTGAACATTGATCACAGCCCTGTAATAAAAGACAGTTAATTATGAAGTCCTGACTGTGAACTGGTGGCAATTTTGCTGACATGAGTTCACCCTGGGCTATGAAAGAGAACAATAAAACAGATAACAGAGAGAGAAAGCAGCCCACGCTGTGCTTAGGTAGAGGTGCAACACAAATAAACAGGTGTGGAGGTTAAACTTCTTCCGGTCAATGGAGTATGGTTGTGCTGCCCCGGACACCTTCTTATTCAGCACTGCTCCGATTCATACTGATATGAATATTTTAGGAGGCTTGTAACACTGACTCAATTACTGTAGTCATATATTCTGTTAGTCTTTTGTAAACAAATGTTTCTGTGAGAAATGAATCCCTTTATCTCGAAAAATGTCAAATCTGGTCAATAAAGTGGAAAGAGACAGTATTTTAATTTTCCCCATCCCAGCGATTCCAAATTGTTGGCGCCACGGTCTCAAATACAGCTTGATTGATTTCCCTTTTCCTTAAAGTTACCAACTCTTAGGAACAGGAACAGTAACTGCAAATAACTTGCACTGATACTCTTTGGTAACTGGGGATAGCTACCGATTGCTCCAGAGGAAAATAAAAGTGCCATGCTCTTACTGTTCTGGTTACGCATTGATAGACAAACTTACTTTGTGCCTTGAATTGAGCTCTCATTTGTCCGGGTGATCATACCCTGGCAGACAGGATTGCACAGAGAAAGTGAGGCTAATACAAAACCAATGTAAATACCAGTGGTGACACTCTACTTTAGCCATTACATTGTGCAATCAATTACATTCATAATGATTCATGAAGTTAAAGCAAGCAACTTCTCTATTGCCGCTTTAATGCTTTCCTAATGTAGATCTTGGTCAACAGTCTGAGATGGCAAATATGTTGGCCGATATGAGCTTATCATCAGAATCAATGTACATGTCTGCCATAAAGTAACAAGACTTTGCAGTACAGGAACACATGTATTGCTGTAATTATGACAAAAACAGTGTTTTTACTAAAAATGTTTAGTTACTGATTAATCCAAATAGTACAAGATTAACTAATAAGAAAGGAAAACAGTGGTAAGCCCTTAAGGCCTAGCACTGACTTACTGGTGAAATGGCAAAGCCACATAACACATAACACTCATTAACCCATCAGCAAGTGCAAAACAAACCACATGTTTTAAAGAATTAAAAAAAAGCTCCAACTAATGTCCACTTCAGGAATTAATACAAATGTGTTTCTAAGAAGGATGCCGCTTTTTTTCCTTTACCTTCTTCAAACTGTATGGAAATTATCTCAAATCTCAACCTAACCCTATATAAGGAAATGCACAATTCATTCTCTATGAAGTGACCCGATTAAAGTTTGCTACAACAATGCAGAGAAAAGCACCACAAAAAAAGAGAGGTATGGTGCTGAATGACCTGATATGAAGCGCTCTGCAAAGAAAACAAACACTCTTGTCCTGCTTTCATCAGATTGCAACTAGGACGTAGCGCATTAGCACTCCTTTGACCCAGAATATAATACTGCAGACAGGAGCGAGAGAGGATCCTCTGAGAGGAGAATCAGAGTGGGTGTAGTGGGAAGAGAGGTCACACTAAACACACAGAAATATTACGAGGTGCCGGATTTCATTATCACAACATAGTGAGGCATTTATTTATCAGAGTATCTTGGTGTGTGTGTGTGTGTGTGTGTGTGTATGTGTGTGTGTGTGTGTGTGTATGTGTGTGTGTGTGTGTGTGTGTGTGTGTGTTAATGAGTCTCATGTGCCTGATGTTTTGGTCCTATACTTGGATCCCATGGCTCTTAGACCCAAAATCACAAGACTTAACTTTACAGCTGTTAATTATACCGTATTAACCCCTAGACAGGAAGCTCATCCAGCAGGGAAAAGATAAACTAATATTGGCTTAAAAATGTGGCCCTCCTGCTTTCAATCAGTGCTATTGATGAATAACATTACATTTAGCGGGCGCTTTTATCCAAAGCAACTTAGGTTAAGTGCAATCAACCATGAGGATACATATTCCGAACTGCAAAAATCCTGCATAAGTTTAAAATAAACTCAACAATTGTAACAGGTGGGTTTAAGTCTGCAGAGGAAGATGCTATTAGTGCTTAATGTTACGGACAGTGTTACAATTTCATCATTAATGTTAAAGAGAATCTGACCCCTCAAGTAAAAGCCCAAGAAGAGCTGAGATTCACAGAATAAACATGATTTGGGTTCATTCAGTTTTGGCTCTACCGTGCTGTGTCACTTCTGCTGCTACTCAGATGGAAATTATTACATAATGTACAGATGCTGCTCGCTCTGACAAGTGACATATCAGGGCCAGGGCAGCAGGCAGCCCAGGAGCGCAGGTGTGAGTCCCAAGGAGAGAGCAGCGGATTTGCATGAGCTGTTTTCCCTTTCAAACATCCTCTGCGGCGAGCAGACCAACCTGGCATGAGCTTCACCATATTCCTTTGCCTCCCAGTCAAATGAGGAAGAAACAGGAGGTTCATTAACCACACATTCATAATCTTGTGTAACTTTGTCTGAAAGCTTGGCTCAGATTTGCATGATTATTCATTTTCTACAATCATCATGATGTCACATTTTGATCCAAATTACATATTGGTTGATGGCTAATATTCCTAGGAACTTGTCAAAGTGATGTAACATATCATTCTTTATACGCCACTCTGCGATACAAAGACACATGACTACAATGTGAAAAGGGTCAAAGGGCAAAATCTGACCCATTACAAAGAAGACTGCTATAAAAAAGTAACCCACATCATAAAGGTGAGAACATTTTAATTCTTCATTATGACAAAGCAAAACTCTCCATCAGACATACAGTTTTGTCTATACAAATCTGTATTTCAGTACAAGCTCAACAGTTGAATGATGCCCAGAAAGACCAGTTTGTTTTACTGGACCCTGCATTTGTTAAGTTTTCTAAAACAGCTGTCTTGCTCACATCTCTTGTTCTCCAGGATAGCATACAAGATAACCAGATATAACTTTTTTTCTTTCGACTGCCGAAAGCTATTTCACAGTTTCACCCTGGCTGCCAACTACCAGAGGGAGAGATGTAGCACTTCAGTGTAAAGAGCAGTGATAATGTGATAGGTACTAAGGCTCAGGGCAGTAAATGAAAAGCTGCTCCAGTGCAATCTAATGACGTACACAGATAATATATCAGAAATACAGAAAATCTGTCAACTGGCCTTTACTGCACATATTGTGCCTGAGAGATGTAGCAGCTGTATTTCTGCACACATGTAGTAGTTTCTCAGTAACTTGCCTCTCAAAATGTTAAACTGAGGCATGAGGGGATCTTAACATTAACTTTGTTCAACACTCATACACACCCGGAGGTCAGTTTTTCCAGGTTTCCATTTTTCTGTGGTGAAGATGTCAAATGTGTCTTTCTTCCTCTGCCCCCTAATTTGTTACACAACCTTCACAATGCTTGCCTCATTTCCTACCAAACAGGACAGACTTCCAGTTTCTTAGTAAAAGTGCAAGATAGAGTTGCAGACACATTAAAACTGACTTCCTCCTGTTTTAAGAAACGGCAGCAAAAGTAAATGTTGATACAGCAAACACTAATGACTGTCGAGGAGCTAACCAGCTACACTGGTGGTGCGACAGGGCTAACCCCAACAATAACAGCAAGAACATTTCATTTATTCAGAGTTTCAGTATGAAAGTCATATGAGCAACCCCCCTCATCAACGACCTCATTTAATTCCATGCTTTCAATTAAATAGTGTCGTGAAATCTTGGTAAAATGACAAAATATAACTCCCTGACCTCTACCCAATAACACAAAACATCTTCTAGTAGGGGGAAATAAGTTGTTAGGCGAAATACACCATTTAAAATGAATAGCCTACAATGTTTATTTAAGAAAATGATATCGCACCAGAAAGTGTTAAAGCGCACCTGCAGTTTTTCACCTGTCGCAACACCTGCAGACATTCACAAACACCAAACGTAATAAGAATATGCTCTGTTGTTAAAATTGTATTTCGGTCATGATATGAAACTCACAGAAACCTTACCAGCCAATCGTGATCCTCTGCGTATGCCTGTAGAAATAATATTTCCCTCACAGGGTGCTGCAGTCCTCACAGAAAGACCTTTCCTCAAGCAGTCGATCCCCAGCAGATAAATAACTGCGGATAAGGGAAATCTCCGCTGTTAGTGGTGTGTTTTCCCCACCAGCTGACTGTGCACAACTGAAGTCAGTCCTCCACTGAGCAGCAATAAGCCCTGCGTGTCTTTATCGCTGCCTCTGTACATGCACGGTGCCATTCAGTGCACCACTGGATGAAAAGCGACTCGAGGATGCCCTCTGCAGGACCAAGGCACGTTTATTTATATAGAACCTTTCAACACAAGATCAAGATTCCAGATTGTATTGTCAAATGCACAGTAGCAACAGTGTAGATATGGCATTGAAAAACTTGAGCCCCAGGCTAGTCCAACAATTCAATATAAATAGGGCATATAACAAATGCAACCAAGGCAATTCTTTTTAGCAAAAATATTTCATACACAAATGTCGCTTTGTCAAAATTCCCCCAGTATTTATTGCTTTTGCTGATGACATGAAATTATACAAAACATTTAATAAATTGTGCAAAAGTAAAAAAGCCCAACAATTTTACACATTTCTAAACTATTTAATTCGTGAACACTTGTGTTTTGTTCTTTTCTGTTTTATATTCATAATGCCCTCAGTTTCTCAATTAATGTAAAATGTTATATTTTATGCGCCTTTTCCTGATTGTATTTAAATAATAGTTAAAGCTCCCATGTCATGCTTTTCCGGTTATTACCCGTCCCCTTGTGTGTTATGAAGGTTTTTATGCATGTAAACGGTGTGCAGAGTCAAAACCCTCAAAGTACACCCTGTAGCGAGTAAAACTAACACAGAAAATACCTCCCCAAAACGCCTCGTTGGAGATACGTCACTGCCCATTTGAGTCTTCCATTTAGTTCCGGGTACGCCATGATGTCATGCGGTACCCGGAACGAAATGGACCAATCCCGAAGAGCTATGGCCACACCCAGCGGCGCTGGCCGCACCCTCTGCCAGCCTAACATTTACTGTTGGAAGCTCTGGTTCAGTTCACAATCGATCCAGTCATGCCACTGCCAAGGACCTGTTTCCTGAAATGTGAGGAGAAATCTGAGCTGTTTGTCCTACCGACGGAAGAACCACGACGAAGTCAGTGGTTGAAATTTATTTTTAACACTGTTCCTTCAGAGGTTCGAAGAACCTGCATTTCACAGAAGAAAGCTTCCAAAACATTGCCCAGTTTGAAGCCGGATATGCACAGCATTTGAAACTGAAGAACGATGCTATTCCTAGTTTGTTTGGACCGTTTGGAGCAGGGGAAGATTCGGGTACACAACCTGTAAGTTTGCATTGTTATTTGTGTATTTATCAAACAAGACTGTTTAAATGTGTAAACTGTGTTGGACTGCTAAGCCATTGGCACAGTGCTAACTGTGCTAACTAAGTTGCTAGCGTTTCCATATATCAACTCTAATATCAGCAGATGGCCTTGCATACATGTATCTCATAGCAGGAGAATGTCTGCATTCACACACAAAATACCTATTGACAGTATACTCCGGGTGATTTACCGTACATTGTGACAGTACATGTACATACTGCATACATGCCAACCTTTCCAAATCCAAAAGAGGTAGGTTTGCGCGCGGCAAATGTGCACACCCAAATTAGGTAATCAGAAGAAAATGGAACCCCAGTAATTACATGTATAAACCATGTATTTAACATATATTGCATCATTTTATGCATTTTTCAGAAAAAGTGGTAGTTTGGTAAACAGTGACATCAACGACATGTTTGGTCTGTAAAATACCCGAAAAGTAAAAGAATGGGAGATAAATATCCCAAAGTCTCCACATTTTATTATATTTTGAATGTGTTTCTGGTCCTCTTTCAGTTGCATTGTTGGAGAAGCCTGTGACATAAGATTTTCAACGACATAATTACTCTGTAGCTATGTTAGTTTGACAATAAAGAACCTTGAACCTTGAACCTTGACAGACAGTGTAGATCAGGGGTGCCCAACCTTTTTTGAACCGAGAGCTACTTTTAAAGTGGCCAGTCTGCCGAGATCTACAGTCCAAATAGAGAGGCACAGCCATTACTGACAGCCGACTACCAGGTAAATACACACTTCTACTTGTATAAAACTGACTTTGTACGATTAATACTTCATAAAATACTGCAGATCCTTTATCTTACCTCTTTCTAATCTACACACACACAAGTATTTAACTGAAGTTACACAACAGTGTTGTTGATACAGAGTTGGGAGTTTATTCACACGTCACAAACTACAGTGGGTAATGTTTTCAAGAAACATTGAACAGTGCTGCCACATATGACACAGGAAAAAAAGAAAAGACTGAACCCTTTCTTTGTCATTATATAAAAATAGTGTTGCTACAAAAGTATAAATTAGTTTTACTAATAAGACAACTCAGATCTGAAGCTACACAGGAAGCTGCTGCCAGAGTGCAATAAAAAAGACAAAATTAATAGAATCAAACCCTTTTCTTTTTTTTGCATTTTAGTAGAGTATAAAAATAAATGCCTTTAAAATAGGATGCAAGCAACACTAGTTTCTTAACCTGAATTGATAATAGACTATAATCAATTTAAACAGAACAGATCTTAAAGTTTGCATTCTTATACCATTTTGTACAATCATTATAATGAATAAGTTCAAACAAACTAAAACTTACAGCTGATTAATAACGGTATCTAACTTGAGTTTTTATTATATCAAAAACCTGTTGAAATGCTACTGTTATTTTTACTGTCCCCAAAAAGCGCGTCGGCAGCCTCCAGGAATGCTTCTTTCACAACTTCGCCGTCTTTGAAAGACTTCATGTGTTTTGCAAGAACGTGACTGACACGATAAGATGCTATGGTAGCAGCCTTGCTCTTGTTGTTGGGCCTGGTGAAAATTGACTGCTGTGCATTTAGCTGTCCTTTCAGGTCCCTCACCTTTTGGGAGCGTAGGACAGAATTAGGAGGGAATTCCGTCTCGTAGCGTTTGTGCACTGTTTTGAAATGCCGCTCCTAAATTACCCTTCTTCGATAAAGCCACGCTCGCATTGCAGATGAGACAGATGGACTTTGAATTGGAATAGATACAAAAATAATCATCCTCCCCACTCGGAGTGAAAATTATATATTTTGGGCTCTTTTGCTTCTGCCATAATTGTGGTCTTGTGTGTGCGGACTGCACAGCAAACTAGTGCCCACTGCCTACGCCCCGATAAATCACAAAGCTTTGATGCGTTCAAGTGCATTATTCTGGCACAGGAAGATTATGTTATAGGACATTAACGATAAAACAGAATATTGTCGTTCTATTTTTAGACACATCTCGCGATCGACTGAAACACAGAGGACTGTTTGTATGATGGGATCACAGACACGCTGCAAACGGTGTCCGCCAAAAGTCGAGTCCAGTGTCTATGTAGTGTCATTTTTATTTGTTATAGTTTGGGAAGATTGAAAATCGGTAGGGAGAGTCAGCTAAGTCGGAAGGCGGTAGAAACATGTCAAAAGCGGTAGACTACCGCCCAAATCGGTAGGGTTGGCAGGTATGATACTGCATGTATAGCTAACGAGGCTAGCTGTATGCTAGCGCAAAACAATGTATTCATGCAAGTTACAATGTATGACCGAACGTAGCAGAATACCCGTATAAGATTGCAATTATAAACACGTTATTGCTAGCCTAATATGAACCACTAGCTTTTGTTCATAGTAGTTTTATTACACTACATTATAGTTGCCGTTCCTCCGAGCTAGCGTACATATCGTGTTAGCTACCAAAGTAAACAATAAAGCTAGGTTAGCATATTAGCTGGCAAGCTATTCATTAGATAGATCCACACTCCTACCACAACTACTACTAACCAGTGGCGAGCCGTCAGGGCCCTCTAGGCCCTCTGTGAGGGCCTAAGATATTCTAAAAAATAATATTTAAAAACATTTAAAAAATATATATTTTTTTTAAATATATATTTTTTTAATATTATTTTTGTTATATTGTTCATTAGTTTTACCGGAAAAAAAACTTGATTTAATTGTATTTAAAATAACATTTCCAAATAAATAAATCCTTCGAATCTGCCTGTTCAGTCTCTGTTGAATGTGAAGGGTTACATGAAAAAAGCTCGTCTGGCCCTCTCTGCGATTCAGAGGGCCCGCTATAGAGTGGCGAAGTCACGCCCATCTACTTCCGCCCCATGGGACCTTATTTCGGAAAAATAATGTATTGAAGTCAATGGAGAGAGAAAACTTATCTTTCGATCCCGTTTGAATTGTGCCATGAATTACACATATGATGTTTGTCAATCTTAAAAAATAATTTCCATGTAAAAAAAGTCACAGTTTGTCGTAAAACTGTTGAAATATAAGACTATGAAAAATACGCAACTAGAAAGACTACAAATCCCAGAGTCGCGTAAGTGATGTCACAATTGTTTTAGCTAAGATCAGCGCCATATAGATATAATCTATCTATATGGCGCTGGCTAAGATAAGATAACTTTAACAAGATGCCTGTGTGCTTAGTACCAGGTTGTTATCATACCAGCAATGGGTCTTGCTCATTCTTTCGCTTCCCGTCTGATGAAAGGACTAGGAGTGTCTGGATCAAGCTAGCTAGTAGCTAGCACGTTAGTTAGCATTACAGCCGTGTCATTTTTATTAGCCTTAACATGAAGTAACCCAACATGTTAAACAGTAAGAGTAGTAGTCATATTTCGTGAACCCTTTGAATAGTACTGTCACCGGTGTGATCATTCTATAATACACAATTTAAGCCCGGGGGAGAAATGCTAACGCTAACGCTAGCGATCTTCTCTACTTCATGCTATCTGCACAAATGGTTGACATTAAACATTAAAACGACCAGGCAGTTCAGAGAGAATCAAAGGAAGGCAGGCAGGCAGCTTTGCATGACATTCTTCAGGACGTGTTTCATTGTGGTGATAGTGAGGGTAGTAAATCGTTTTGTTGACAGTAGTGACGGCCATCTTGGTGACGTGTGTTGTTGACCAGAGATGTAGTTCATTTAGCGTTTCACACAAACAAATGTGTTACTTCAGTTTTACGACACATTTTTTTTTTTTTGACTTGCAAAATTATCTTTTAAATTGACAAACATCATGTGTAAT